TGTATATATATATATATATATATATATATATATATATATATACATGTATATATATATATATGTATATATACATGTAACTGAAGTCTCTCAGCATTATTTCCTTTTTCGAATTTCTCTTGTTAATGCGACAGGAGCCTTTATTTACATTCAATTACTTACTACTGGCGAGATGAGAGCCAAGATGAGTCAAGCAGATGCATGTAAGTTATTAGATGAAGTCGATCAGACCTTACCTCAACGATGGTGTTCTTCTCCTGAAGCGAGATATTGATAGGAAAGTGGGCATACACCGACCGCATCTTATATCGGAATCCTTTAGTAACACCTTTGATCATATTTTCAATGTGAGAGCAAACGGTGCGAATAGCAGCGACTTCTTTCCGTATTCCAAACCATTTCCTCACACGGACTGTATTCTTACTAATCTTCTCGATTTCCATATGCAAGTGTCGGAAATCCCTCTTAAGTACACCACGAGGACCTTTGACGGTGACCACCCGTTTATTGACTGAGAATGTAACACCTTCCGGGAACTTCACTGTGTCGTGTGCTTCGATGAGTTTCATCCTTTACCACTGAAATTTCATTTATTTTAAGTGCGATGGTTAATTTCTTCGGTCGAAATCAAAATTACTAATGAGCGCACAAAACAAATGTCACTTATACGTGAAAATGGAGAAAGTGGCGTATCTACTAGTACATTAGCTATTAATATGAAGGCTTCACATACTTATTTAGTTCGAGCCATCCTCAAATCACAGTAATCCAACCTAGAACATATCATCTCGTACTTAGCTGAGTGATACAGCGGAGAACAATATGATGAGCAGACTAGTCTTTAGCTCCCGTTCATATTTCTATCCAGTCAATAAGAAAACGAATTGCACTTCAGACTAGCGTAATCGCTGGACAAACTCTTAGCCATCGGAATAAGGCAACAGAAAAAACCCCCAACACCGAATTCTCACGAACTGACAGACCGGCCTGCCTGACACAATCTCGGCCATGCCTGCCAATCAGTGGGACCTACAAACATGCCCATACCGACCATTTGTCACACGAACGGGCCCTAGTGCAACATTTAGTATCTCACTGTGGCCTGGTAGAATAGCAATTCTTCGTATTTATCATTCTTCGTTTATCCTATTTTGAGAGGTAAGGGGATAAGGAAAATAAACCTGTATAAGGACTGCCGATGCTTTGTTCCCTATTTTTCTAATATCTATTTGTAGGATCAAAGAAAGATCACTAGCAAACAATCTAAAGCGAACCATGCGCATCAAAAAGAAGGTAATGTCTTCCCAGATCATCACTTATTTAGACTTTCTTCCGATGCTTTTCATCTCAGTTTGCCCAAAAATTAGCAGGAAACTTGCGCGCGGCATCAAAACTTGTTGCTATGTATATCAGATATATCAGCTATGTATATATGAGAATGTTCAGCTTTTATAAAGTACCGTTTTCAGTACGAATCCGGAGCTGCTACTAATTACATTACTCGAGGGCGAGCGCTGAAAAAACTGCAGCTGTCGTTGAAGGATTTTCGTCGCCTTTGTATTCTAAAGGGGATTTATCCTCATGAGCCTTTGCATAAAAAGAAAGTTAACAAGGGATCAACAGAAAATCGAGTGTACTATTATGCTAAAGATATCAACTTTCTGGCTTCTGAACCGATCATTAGAAAATTCCGAGAATATAAGGCATGTCATTTCCTTTTATCCTTCTAAATCTGGGTAGAATGGATTGAGCGAGATGTTCTGATGATTAACGCAGAGCTTTTTTCAAGGTTCTGCTGGTCTGGTTTTGCCTAGGAATTAAAATCACATATTGACGACTTTATGTATTAGTTTAACTGAAACAAAACACTTTATATTATTTCTTTACATCTTTCAGATATTTTTGAAAAAGCTAACTACGGCAAAAGTAAAACGAGATGAAGAACGCGTCAAGAAATTATACGAAAGACGCCCTGAATATCAACTGGATCATATTGTGAAAGAAAGGTATTTTATTTGGCCGTTTCGAAAGTTTTCTGACGTTTGGTAGGCTGTCTGCACATCACATATATTTTTTACACCTTTTTTCAAGACTTCTATATCTTTTTGCAGATATCCAACGTTTGAGTCAGCACTACGAGATCTGGATGATGCACTATGTTTGCTGTTTGCTTTTGCAGTTTTGCCTCACACAAAAATTATTACTAGCTCTTTGATAGCTTCATCTCGGAGACTAACTGCAGAATTCAACCATTATATCATCGAATCGAATTCTCTCAACAAGTTTAGCCATCTTACATAGCAATTGTCCACCTTTTCCAATTCAACAAATTTATCCTTCATGTTTTTACGGTTGTTGCTTCGCCGAGTTGCACATTTTCTATTTGGTCTAATTCACCAGTCATTAGCGGTATTGACGACAATCTGATAGATTCCGACACTGTTTAACTTAGCATCATTTCATAACTCAATGAAGCTCAGATAGTTAACGGAGGAGTTATTACCAGGAAATGTGAAAAATCTATATTTCAGGTTTTTGTCTCGATTAAGGGGATCTATTATGAAGCAGAAGTGATGGGCGAACGAGTAACGTGGATTGTGGGTCATGACAGAGGCGTGGGACATGTAAGCGAGGTAGATTTTTCCGTGATGGCAACATTCGCAGAATTCTATGTTACAATGCTCGAATTCGTCAACTTCCGACTTTATCAGTCGATCGGACTTTTTTACCCGCCTAAACTTGCTTTCAAGTCAAACAAGGTTGTTTTTATATTATATTCACCATTTCTAAGTCCCATTCATCTCAGAAATTGGGACCTTGCCAAAAATGGACTTTGCTTTCAATTCCTGTGTAAGTTTGAAAAGATTTAGTCTGAAGATGACGACCAAACTGAAGAAGGAAAAGTGTATAGCTTAGCTTGTCCGCTATCGAGATTTGACAGTTATGAGGAACATATTGATGTCAGTATCGATGATGCAGTCAACAATGAACTCAGTGAAAAACTGTGTGACGTCGAAAAGAGGAAACAGCTGTTTGCAAACTATCGTTTTTGGTTAAATCGTGAAGTTCCAAAAGATGTTCTTGCAATTATTATAAGGTTACTTTCTCGATTTCCGTAGATGTCTTTATGTCCACTGTTTATTTGATAGTATGACGCAATGCTTCCAGTCTCATTTAGGTCATGAAATTCCCTTACAATTTTCTTGCATTTTACAGAAGTTGTGGTGGCTTGGTTTCTTGGGAAAATTGTCCAGCGGCACAATATTGTGAAAATGATGCTCAGATTACACACCAAATAGTAGACAGGCCATTGCTTGACAGTCACAGAAATCTCAGCAGGTATTTCAGTTCTTACCATCTTGCAGCCCTTTTTATCACCTTCTCTTTAGATTACAGATGAAATGAAATGGTCTGTCAATCAACACTTATAGGAGATAATGTTGTTCGCTCAACAAATATCTCGGCAGGGTAAAATGTTGCATTGAATAAACTTTGGTGTTATTTCTTCTGTATATCAAAATTTGCAGGTGCTATGTACAACCGCAGTGGGTTTTCGATAGTTTTAATAAACGAACTTGTCTTCAAGTGAAGAAGTACCTTCCCGGTGCAATACTGCCACCTCATTTGTCACCTTTTTCCAGTGACTACAATACTTACGAAGAACAGCTCGAACAGTTAAAGCTGTTAAGCAAAGGTGCTTTTCCTAGAACTAATATTAGGGAAAGTTCCAAAAAAATACTTTTTCGAGGTAATGATTAAACCACTATGACATCAAATAACATCAAGTAATAAATCCTAATTTTTAGCATCGTCAAGCGCGACCAGCAGAATGAAAACTGAGAGGGAAAGTACGATACGAGAAAAGAAAAAAGTTCAAAAAGAAAAGGAAGTACCAACTATGAACGTTAACAAAGGTCGAATGCATAAAGAGAATTTACAGAAGAAGCTAAATGAAGAGGTGAAAATGATTACTCTTATCTTCAATAATATTCAATCCACCCCTTCTAAAAAGAAAAGTTAGATATATTGGAAGTTAGACTCGACTACTCTACCTTTTTAACTTCAGTAGCACTTTAAACTGGATTCTGCAAGTATTTTTTGTAATTCAGAACTTGAGCTATACAATGCTCAGAAATTCCAAGTGTTATTCGCAATTAATATTTTTGAAGATAAAGAGCATTCAACGTGCTCTGAACGATGGCTACATAGATTTTGTGGAAGCATGTAAAGTTGACTGAGACTTCTTCCCGAACTAAATACTTTGTTTTTAAGGGACATGAACTCAAACTACGTGAAATGCTCATACCAAAAAAACGTAGGCGAGTTTATTCCAAAATCAAGCGAGGAATTAAACGCCGAGTCCACGAAGAAAAAAAGTTAAATGAGAAAAGATTGAAAATGTTGGAAAAAACGAATTGACAGTTGACATTGTATTTGTTAAAACTCTAGAATAAATGGTTGTAAAGTATTCGATGTTCACAATCAGATCTGATTTATTGTTGATTTTTGAAAAGCAAGCAATCATAGAGGTTAGTACAGTGAACATTTTGGCATTTAGCCTGGTCAAATCATATATTTATGCCTTGGTATTGACTAGCGTTCGCATTTCGATACAGCAAATTTTTAAAAAACATGGAAATACCATTAAAAATCCATATATTTACCGATGAAACCATAAGTCTGCATTCAAAGTCTTTGAGGTACGGAAAGATAATCAGGAGGACCGCAAAGGAAACTAAACCAAAATTTTTAAGTAAATTGAGTCGTCCCAGCATGAAATGGGATTATATATATATATATATATATAAGATCAGCAGCACTAGATATTCAGAAAAAAGCGGTTTATGCTAGCCAGCAAAATGTCACTGATGTCATTTGCGTACTTCCAATTTAAATTGTAGATTAGTTTGCAAAATAACAGTTGCTAACATATGGCGCTTCCCGCTTCCGGACTTCTTTTTCAGAATTATTGAAAAATAAAGCTCATGGAGATACAATAACAAACACAACAGTTTTTATGATAGGAATACGATTTCTGTAACTCCTAGTTGAGAAAAAATTTTGAACCTTCCATACTGGAAAACGTTCAAACTAGATAGGTGAAACTCCCGAAATAAGACGAAGTTTCACATCATATTTTCACTCGCATAAGATTTTCATGTATACTGCGTCATCAGATATTTAGTTCTAACAATAAAGAAACAATTATGTTTGAAAGAAAAAAATACATCAGTCGAACCAGTGATTCCACTGACAATCTTCACTCCATGATTTGACGCATAAAAAGCACCAATGCTCACCACACTGTACACAGTGCATGTGAGCGCAGCCACCATTTCGCTCTGTTGGAGAACCACAAGAAGGACATCTACGACATGTACGCTCGATGATCTTCTTAGTTGCATTTGATTCCAAACAAATACATTCTAACTGTCGACACAAGCCGCAAAACGAAAAATAACACTCCGGACAAGTTATCTAGAAAACATACTTTTTGCCTTAAACCTTTGGAGATGAACAACTGGCAAAACTGTAATCGTGAAAGAAATGGAAAAAGAAATATGTACCACACATTGCTACAATCTTCCAGATATGTACCACACACTGCTACAATCTTCCAGATATGTACCACACACTGCTACAATACGCCCCGCATCGAATCAGTGTACTGGCACACCTTAGGATTTGTTGGATCAAACTCCCACAGGAAAGAAGCACCACAGTTTGCTCTTGGGCAAAACATTCCTTCTCGTTCCAGAATAACGAAACGTTCTGCTGCCTGTCGCTGATATTCATTATAATTCGATTTGCCCAATAGATAAAAACAATGTGCGTCGACAACACATCCTATAAACTATGGAAATCAGTACAAATCTACACATTATTAACTTCTTTGATTAAACTCATTTTCTTACCAGAAAACTTCTGCATTTTGCAACGAACATGAATGATAGCACTTTTTTAGCACTTCAAATTCAATTTTTTCACAGTAACAGTTTACAGAATTTCAAGAATTAACATTTATGAAATCAGAAATGGGAAGAGTCCATACCGTCTACAATTGCGAATATTTCTAAAAATAAACTATGAGTAATTACATCTGCTACCAACCACGACAGTCGTAGACCGGACAACCGACGGTATAACCGTTTGGTGGAATAAATTCGAATTGATGTTCAGCAAAAGCTTTTTTGATATAGGTTGAGAAACATTCCACGCATGTGTGATGATGACAGTTCAACTGTACAACAGTCTGCAAAAATGAAGCACAAAGAATACGTGAACCTGACCAGAAGTTCCCAATAAATCCTTTCTAAAATAATGCAAACTTTTTTATCGCTTCTAGATAAGGTAAATTTAGTGACTAATTTCAGTGAGAAGCACGAAATTCACCTTCATATGCGAATCAAAACATATCGAACAACTGCCCAATCCATGGGAATTTCGAACATGCGTTAGCGGTATTGCTATCTAAAGCTGACGATATTACACATCATGAAATAGAAATCCATAACAATTTCTAATGGCTATAATGGTAATAAGAGACTTTCAAAAGATGAGCTCCAATGAATGATCGAACAGTACTTTGAGGAAAAGAATCAATGTCATACCTGGCCACAATCGGTACATTTGAAGCAAAAACGTGCTGTCGTCTCTTTCCCACAATCTTTACAGTCGGTTTGTATGGTATTTCTACAAAAAAAGAAAAAAAAAACTGAAATTGCCTACTACTCAAATTCTTCTTGCTCGTTGTTCAAATTTTCATGGATAAAAAATCCTGCCCAATCCTACCTTCAAACAATCCTATCTCAATGAAACCATCATTTACAAACACCAGGTTATTCTCATCCTCTCTCAAAAACTTCACATTATTACAGTGGTAAACAATCTATTTAAGAATTAGAAGACGAAAGCAATGACTTACATTGAGAGGACGTCCTTCCAACTAGAAGGCTCTCTAATTACAATCAATGAACTGGACGAACATTCAGCACAGTAAACCCGCAATTTGCCATCCTTCAACGAACTGCAATTTTTACAAAAGACCTTAAATGATGTGATTTCAGATGATCTGTTATTTGCGAGAGATGACGACGATTCACTTTTCTGCTTCGCCTCTTCTTCTGATGAACACAGTTGAGTGACCACTGCTGTTAGCGAACTACAAAATAGTGGAAATGAAGTGAGAATTTAATAAAAAAAGAAAGGGAAATAAACAAAAACTAGAAATTTACGTTTGTGGTCCGAGAAATAGAGCACTGATTGGTGTGTCGTTGGTCAATTTATTTCCACAAAGAATGAGGAGAAAGTTAGAATGCGGAATGCCAAGTCTAGCTGACAACTTGTTTGCAACGTCACCAACAGTATCACAGTCATCCACCTCGACAACAATATCTCTGGATCGACCGATACGGCTTCTATACCATGGCTCTCGATTCCACACCGTAATCAACAGTTGCATTTCATCGTTTGCGAGAAAGAACTGTCAAATGGACTTGAATTAAAAAGAATTCTGAAAATATGCTTGAACAGCTTTATCTTTGACAGCTTTACCAACAGATACGACTTCCACTTGTCTTTGAATAGTCACTTCAAAAGAAGCCTGACTACCGCTAGAGTGGAACTCTTCTAAGCATTAACCTCCTTGAGTTTCACACCCTTTAGGTCGTTACGAAATAAATGGGTTCATATCGATCAGGCCGCAACCAAACTTTTCTAAAACACTGTTTTAGCTATACCCTGAACTCTCGAACGCTCCAATTATGTTCTGTATATGTGTATGTATGTATGTGTTTGTGTGTGTATATATGTGTATGTTCTACCACTTATGAAAAGATTCAAAAGGATATAAAGCATAAAATGACATTGGCGCAAAATAAGTGAACGTATAACATAACGAAATCCTACCTTCGAGGATGAACAGTAGCAGATGGTATCCTTTTAGAGAATTTATCACTAAGAAGAGACAACAACGTATACCCGAAATATGTCTCTCTCGTATATAAGAAAAGAGGTGGTGACAGTTTTATAAATTCCCGGAAATTTATTGATGTATTGCTTTTTTCTCCTGTGATTCGCATGGGGCGTTAAGTTGTTCTTTATCTGAGAGTATCATCTGTAAAGATGGACGAGATTCAAACAGTTTGCTGCGATAAGGGAAAAGAAGAATTTTCGCGGTCCGTTGTATTCTTTCTATCCAAAACCTTACTGCTGTTCCGTTTACTGTTTGCCATCCTGCAGCTTTCTCCGGATATACGCATGCACCATGCATGTAACATGCACAGCAAGTACGATGCACGCATAATATGCAACTACGGATTGTCCACCTACTTGATAATATTGATTAATACCTAAATTTCAAGTCTCATGATTTTTCCTAGTCATCATAAAGAAATCGCCAAAATTCAAACTTGTTTAAAAACAGCTCATTTGCTTATTTTCTTTGTTTCAATTCGTTGCATAAAGTGAAGAATTGCTGCTGAAGGTTGAAAAAATGTGGACTTATAAACGAATTGAATTTAATATTATTAAGTAAAACTCTGAAGTTATCGGCGCGTTAGATAGAGTAAAACGTATTGCATGTCTAAGAAATTTAGAGGAAAACAACATTATCCCTGTTAAATTCCTAGAAATAGATTCTTGGAATTAGTGAGAAATTTGTTTCGTTAGCAACCGGTATTTTGTCAGCAGCAAATCAGGCGGCGCGATTTTCTGCAAAGTTTCCCACCGGTAGTATAGAAAGATCAATTTTAGTTTTTCAGAGGATTGCTGATTATATTGTGAAGAAGATAGGAATTGAGAAATGGCTTGGGCTAAGAACTAAGTAGCCAGCGAAATTGAATGTCCTCTTAATGTCTTTTTTGAGCGACTTTTCTGATGCATTTTGTGTGCTCGTGAAAAGTAACAAGGGTAATGGATTGTAACTAAGTAGCCATAAGGATTGCTTCCATTAGGAAAGCTAAGACTCATTCCCAGTTCCTACTATAATTTCACCAAGGTTTCGTTTGTAGTGACGATATTTCCGGATTTAGAATGGGATTAAATAACTTCAAAAGATAAGTTTCCAAAGGTTCTACAAGCAAAAACATATTAAGCGAGCTTTACTTTACTCAAGCTTTGCTTTACTTTGAATGGGCTTTTTACTTCCCAAACTTTTCTGATGACACTGGCCTCTCAGGTTCGGTCCTTTCCCAGAATTAACATTAAGGATCACATCCGTAGAACTGTGACTTCTTCTGATTTGATGGGTTATCAGACTGCTGGATCATCGATCACTCTAATGAACATTTGTGTGGAGTTTCTTCTTATTGGTTTCTTATTTGGATTTTTCCTACAAACTATCCATTGCAAAGAATATGGAAGGATAACTTCAATTTTAAAATGAAATATGGCTGGCTTACATCCTGATGGAGAGTGTTTATGTTTCATTTTCAATATTCAAGCAAAACTGAAGTGATTTTCAAGTTGGAGATGATGTCATTAATGAATTCAATACAGTTGAAAAATAATTCACAGTATGACAGCGATTTTTCTTAATTTTCTATTCACATGATTGAATATCAGAAGGTTCATGTTTACACTAGTCTTGATACTTGGCTAAGAAAAACTGACATTAATATATTTAAATATCTCGGTGTAGCCATCGAGATTGAGACCGAGATTGCCTAGATTGCCTAGTTTTTGTTTCATAAGATCGGAAGAAACCCTCGTGATATATCACATTCCCAAGATTTATATTTGAGGCTAAACTTTTCCATTTCATTATTAATTTTAGATCCTGTACTCCGTAGAATATGTAGCCCGATTGTTAAGCTTTCCCTTATCGAACCATTGGAATTAAGCCATTTCGAATTAAAAATTAAGCCTAGTAGGAATCAGCATCATTATTACTGTAGACACTGTTATTCACACTTCAAGAGATGCCAAACTCTTGGCATCTTCATCATGAAGACCAAATAGTTGATCCTTTATAATCAACCAAATTTTTTTGATATATTTGCTTGGCCACTAAACCACATAGATCTCTTGAGAAGCGAAAGGACAAAGGAGAAGAAAAAAAAAGAATTAATTTGTTTAATGAAATCTAAACGAGACCCCATGATATTCAAAGGATTTGATGTTAATATCGACAAAAAATGCTCCTTTCTGGTCCAGCTCCAATGATCACAATCATCCTAAGCTCAACTGCCAAAATGATGGAAGAATGCATGGCTGGCCATTTCTTCCTTGTCCTTCTTTCACACTTTTAATTACATTTTGCAAAGTATCACATTCGAGAGAAAGAAAAGTAAAAAAGAAGAAATGAAAGTCCCACCCCTGGGGAGTTTGGCTTTAGTTATCGTAATCCAAGCCCACCTCCTGACTTCCAAAGCCCTTAGCCAACGAATATATGTAATGGTCCTCGACTCGGCTTTTTGAAGCCATTATATCAAAAGCATCATCATCATCATCAGTATCGCCGCTAACACTGTCATCTAAATTTCGAGATGAAAGGTCTCTTCCAACACCTCTGTTCCTCCATTCTTATCGCTGCATTGATGATGTCCAGTTGTGTACAGTATACAACGGGACAGTTACAAACTTGTTCGCAGGTACCAATTTATTCCTTTCGCTTCTATCATATCAGTGTTAGTCTACCTTGTTTATTATGTCAGTGTTAGTCTATCTTGTGTGTGTATTTCATCAATAGATATGTCATTGTCAGGTGAATGATAGTGTCACCGTTTTCTTTATCAACAAGTGGTATTAGTAAATCTGTTTGCTGCTGAATAGACACTACCCAGAAAGTGCTGTTTATAAAAAAAAGTTCAAAAAGGCGTCCTCAGGCTTTTTTTTTTCCGTTTTTCGGGAAAACTTTTCAATCTTTGACAAAGCGTTTTGCATATTGGCAAACTTTCATTCTTCCAACAACTTAGTGATGTCCATTCGGGGTATTTCAAGTTTTATTCCAGTTCTGATTTTCATTTCCTTTTAAAATGGATACCAACATAGAACATGATCGAACAAGGAAATTCTATCAGGCATTTGTTAAGCAGATCTTGCCTCCAAAGGATATATATCTTTCATTAAATTTTCGCCAAGTATTTCTTTTGAAGCTAAGAAAAAAAAGTGATCCATTTGCCCATTTGCATTATTTTCAGCTAAATTTTGAACCAGACTTTTGAAAGCTTTTATATTACATTATATAAATGGATTTTGAATAATTTCCAGTGTTGATGGTGAAATTTATGGCTCAAACAGGATTGATTCTGTTGTCTTAAAATGAATCTTCAATTTTAACGGCTCCTTTTTAAACAAGATAATAGCACATGATTAGATCTTTTTGATTCAGACCATATCAAATAAAATTAACTTCCAGTGAAGCATTTTTTTTCTACAACTGAAAATTTTTCTAATTGAACAATTTTCATTCCAAACAAATATACGATAATCCATTTTATAAAGTTTCCAACAACAACGTTTGCTTCGCAGAAATACTGGAAAAGGTAAATTTCCAAGGAAAATGTTTCACTTGCTTAAAATTGATAGGTAATTTCTTCTTTTTCCTTCATATCGAAATTTCTGTTTTGGTGGTAGAGATATTTAGAAAAAATTGACTTGTGGAATTTTCATGCATAAAAGATTGTGCATTTAATATATGGACAAATTGAAAGAAGCAATTCTTCGAAATTTATTAATTTCGGTCGATAAGTCGAATTTCAAAAATGCTTCCATTCAATCATTTTGCTGCAGAATTCACGTTGCTCGAACTACTGATTTTTACAGCACAGACATTCACGGATTTCATAAATTTCATCGAATACAGCAGTTTTTTTTTCCTTTTTTCAATCACTTTGACCTTGTTGAGTTGAGTTCTCATTCATTTCTTTTCACTGTGACATGAATTCTTGAACTAAGTCTTGGTTTATAAGTGGAAAAAGTTTGGATGATTAAGTAATAAGACTGTATTTAAAATAGACTGCTAGGTTTTTGAATAAAGCAGGAGAACATTCAACTTATTAGGAACAGAGTATCTTTTAAAGATGCTTAACAGTATGCCTATTTACCTGTGAATTCCGAATTTTCGGTTTCAATAAAAAGGTTCGCATATTTATGTGTGCATAATATTCAAAACAAATGAAACAAAAGGATTTATTGCCTTTTTTTGACGGTCTTGAATTAAAGATATACTGTTTGCTACCCATAATAAAGTAAGTCATTTGTTGAACACTGGCCAACTAGTCTTCCTCTTTCTTGTTGAATATTTATGATGATGCATTAGATTGCCGAGCAGTGAAAAGGATAGAGAGGTGGGAATTCTTTTAGACAATCACAGATTTGTTATTTTTATCTAAGAGTTGCCTAACATTTATCGCAAAGTTATTATTATATAGAGAAAAGTCACCAAAGAATCAGATGCTGGACAAGCCGAAAACTAGACATTCAAAATCTACCATATATCTAATTGTTTCTGGAATCCAATATGACCATAACAATGAATACAGTTTAACAATGTAACAATCTTCCCATTGGATATCTTCTGAGGGACAATAATATAAGAATTGCCGGGGATAGTGAATTCTCAAACTGTTTGTTCCCAAATGCATATTTCAATATAATTAGCAAATGGTGAGTTTGGATAACGAATAGTTTGGCAATAACAAACACTGGAAAGCCATCTGTGTCCTGGTAGAGGAAGCAGTAAATACAACAGTGTCGCATGTTTATAAAAGCCTAATTCAAGAGACTAGCCGGAGAAGAGGGGAAGGGAAAAGATTTCAGGAGATTTATCTAAATTCCATTCACTGTTTTTTAGTTTGAAGTGGGACAATCTTAATGAAGCGGCGGTAATTTCCTACAACAACCCTGTCCTCAAGAGAAAACAACTATATGTCGCATATTTTAAGCAAAAGCGGGAAATAATTTGCAATTTGATATCTCTTTATGTTTCATTTTTGAGAATTATTTCATTATATTGCATGAATTTTGTTCAAATTTTTTTGCAACTTATTTTGTAATTAAAATAAAGTGTAAAAATCATGATGTGCGGTTGATTTATTGGTTTCAGGTATTTGCATCATCTACTGAAGAAAATGACAAGGTGTTGTTATGTCAAATGTATGAAACTTCATCATTATTGGCTCAGCTTGGCACTTTTGTTTCTAAAGATGTAGAGAAACTTTTGGCTAACGAAGGTACAATCTAACAATTCTAGGAATTACGTTGAGTAATTTCCTTTTCCTGACGATTATTTCAACGTCATGTTTCCATTGTTCTCTAAAAAGCAATTAGTTTAACAAAGGAAGTGGAGTAATTCATTTAGTGTGTGTTTTAGCTATTGAAGACTAGTTTTGAAACAAAAGCAATCTGGAATTCTGTTCTAATGAGTAGACATAAATATTGGAATATTAACACAAATAACCGAAAATTCAAATACCGTTTAATTCTACGCATTTAATCAGTTTTTTTTTCGCATTTGATGAGAATTAGGTTTCCAGAAACGATTCTCGGATCTAAAATCTATTTTAGTTGTAGTAAATGAACTCTAAAGAAAATTTGAAAAGTGACCATCCAACTTTTTATTTTATAACAATTAGACAAAAAACTCAAAATAAATTTAAATTTTCAAATTTAAAATTAAAATTTCTTTTAAAATTAAAAAATTTTTCTTTTTTTTAAAATTTTTTTGCATTTTTTTGATATCAAAATTTCTTTTTAAAAATTAAAAGAGTTTACCATCGATTGATCTGGATCAAAATAAAATATTGAAATATTTAAAAAAACAAAATCAAAATAAAACATTCTTGTAGCAGAGTTGTTTATTGTGCACCTTAATCTTTGTAGCTTTAGATTCAAATGTCCAAAACAATCAATTCTATCATTTGTTGAGATTCTGCTAACCACCAATAGAGTTGTTTTGAACGCTAAACAATCTATGCCAACTGGTTGAATGTTATAGTGTGATTACAGGTGTGACAATGGACGACGTTCAGGACATCGAAAAAAGGAAGCATGAATATCTGCGATTCGGTAAGAGAAAACACGAGTATTTGCGTTTCGGGAAGAGGAAGCATGAATACTTAAGATTTGGTCGAAAGTAGCTGAGTCATAGTTCCCATTGCATCCATTATTTTTCTGGATTTCATTTATGTATATGTTGTAAATCATTGCAATGTTTTCCATATATGGCATTTATTTCCAAAAGTAGTTCACATCAATAAATGCAAAGTTACATTTCCTTATCACACATGGATTACCAGTATTTACTACTGAAAGGGATAAAAGTATTAAAACGATAATGTTTAAGTCATAATTCAAGAGAAATCGATCAAAACCCTGTTGTCCCAAAATTATTCCCACCTTTCTAGATTGGATAAGAGTGAGAAGCTACTCTGGACATGTATGTCGGAGAATATGTTTTTTTTAAAGAATGAATAACTAATTAGACAAAAGCGACTATGAATGGCCATATTCGATAGGAACAGCGTTATTATCAGGTAGCGTATCACACCACACACACCCAGCCACACACACATACATACACCCAGCCACACACAAACACACACACACACACCATACATACATACATACACACACATCGAATATAGCAGGTAGAACTTCTAATGCTTTGATAGTACGCTTCCCAATCTTTAGTTAACGAGGGAATTCTTCAAAATACTGATAAAGGATATCGCATTATCAGCGAACACTAAACAGGAAAGAGTAAAAAGTGCAAATCGCAAATATGACGGGATCGATAAAATCACCACACATTCAAATATCGTAAAAGTGAACCCTAAATGACGTAAATCATCTAATCCAAACAAACTTCCTCTTTTTAAACTTTTTCCATTTAAACACCAATTTCCAGGGAAAAACTAACTGATAACAGCTAAGATCATTAACAAAATAGAATATCCAAATAAACTGAATGACGGGATGAGATATGCTTTTTTTGTAATTGAGTTGATGCTAACAGATAATTCTGTTATCAACAATCAAATCATTAAAGTGAATAACATAATAGTCAGTAGTCAGTAATAGTAATAATAATACATCACACATGCATATATATGGTTACACATGTAGATATAAGTGCATAGAAGTAATCATAATTGCCAGTAGACAATAGCTAAACCTTGAAAAGTGAACAATGTTCGAAGCGATTATCATTTTTGGAATCAATTCGCAAATAGCTGTATCATTCATATCCTCGAATTATGAGGATAATGTGCGCTAACATATTTATTGTTCCGTTCTGGACTGAACACTTTCTCCGTTATAAGATTCAGACAAAAAAGTGCCATTATCGCCAGATATAGTGATACAATGATACCAGCACAGGCCTGTAATTATGATAGGTTATAAAAGATCAGAATATGATTATAACTGATATTATCAAAAAGCAATATATATCTTTTCTCTTTAAACATACCGAATAATTCTGGAAAAATGAAGCATGCGAAAAGTTGAAATGCTTTTAAACTTTTGCAAAGAAAGATAATTTATAAAGGTGAACATATACTGTTCAGTCTTTAAGATATCAATTAAATCTGGAAAACTTATGGCAAATTGCGAAAAAACCTACAGCAATCCATCCGAAACGTTCTCCTGTTTCGATGATAGTTCGTTGAGAAATAGTTCCACCGATACCGCATACTAGCATCCATGCAATCATTCCTGCACCGGCGAATACCACTTCCTGAATTATAAGCTGCCGATGGTTAAATTCATCCCTGATACATGATCAGATCAATACCCATGTAACAATCGACAAAGATAAATACTCTAATCGCATTTTTCCTCAGTCAGATATGTATACTAATAGCAATAACGGAATTCATTTTATATTTCAGTACTTGAAGTAATTCAGCAAACTCCTATGTAATCTCATGTAAAAGACGAACATCCCGGAATTCTCTAGGAAAACATAAAAGATAACTCGATTTTTGGCAGGTTAAAGTCCTTCATTATAGTCACTCTGCCGTTTTGTTGTTTGCATTTATTTAATGGCTTCTCATGTCTTGGAATGGTTAGTATAAAAGGGGCTACTTTCAGCGGGAAATCTAATAAAAAAAAGAAACTTGGCAATTCCGGGAAAACAAACAAATAAACTTGCAGTGATAGAGCAGTTTGTAAGAGATACCGCTCTTCTTTCGCCCATTTTTTGACGGTGCACAATGACATACATAATAATGGAAACGATGCAATAAAGTAAGGTAAGTGACGAAATGATATAAATGAGAACAATTTCATAGTTCACTGAAATATAAGCCACTGTATATTCTGGATCGAGCAGAATCAATGCTACTATTGTCAGGATCTGAAATTAGTGCAATGAACTTTGCAAAGATGATGTTTTTAAATAGCGAGGGAAAGAGGAAAGAGAGGAGAAAATATTTGTAGAAAAATTTACGAATTTAGAAACACAATTTTTATGTCCTTAAGACTACCGCAAACAAGCTTATTTTGTTGTCGCGATTAAAATCATAAGTGAAATAACAGCTTCTATTTCGTGAGCCTGTTCAATTTTAAGTCTTATTAAATTAAGATAAAACTTTCAGCTTTACAGTTTTCTGACTCTAATGGGGTACAGTTACACGTCCAATTACTACTGCGCCAACATTGACTTTTTTTCAATTAGTATTATTTTTCAGATATCGTCATTAAAATTTTCATCGCCATTCAGTACTGATGCAAAATGATTCGAGAGATTGCGTAAGAGTCAAAACCCCTCCTTGATATAGTTTATGGACCTTAAGATGACAATTAAGAAATGGAAAAATACAACCCTTCTCCAGTAGGATATTTTAATACAAATAATTCAAATGCAACACTGATTCACATCCCCTAAGAGCATACAACTTACTAGAAAGATGATGTACTAAATCGCAAGTGTAATCAATTAACATATAGGAATTAATATGGATTAAAAACACCCCTAAGCCATCTAGACATCCTACATCAAAATCATAGCCAAATGGGAAGGTACCAGAAACAGATGTAGGTAAATTCATGCCTACATGTGCCTGATAAGGAAAACAACTTACAACAATGAGAACTTTGATGGCTGCACAAATAATCAATTGCGTCGGGAGAACCATTGTGGTTGAAATGAGAGAAATGAGATGCTGTAATGCACGGTGAAGAAGAATATGCTCTAATGCTTACAATGTGATGCATTTGCTTTACTACCTGAATCATTGTGTCAATATTTGTAAAAGTGAGACACACTGATTGGGCGCTAAGGGGACGCATAGCAATTAGCTCATAGACCATTCTTCACCGTCTCACCTGCAGTGATTCTTCCCCAGCGATGTAATACAACAATGAAGCATGTACTCCATATATAAAGAAGTTATTTGAAAATCAATAGGGAGAGTATTACCAGGTCCCACGTTTTTTAAATAATTAACTTGTTAATCGTTAATTACAAACCACTCCTTGCAAATTGTTCTCTATCCAAGAAATGAACTGATAGCAAACCTCACGAATCACCAAGTCCCGGAAAATCTTTCAGAAGCATTGTTAGTCACTTTATGCACCTACTGGAAATCTTTATTAGCATTACTGGTTTAGTTCCACATCAATCGCTTATCATTCACAGCAACAAGGTAATAACAAATCTTACCAGTCATATTTTTATAGCTTTTACCAGAAGCCGAGACGTTAGCCATGCTGCAGCTACTGCCTCAAAAATTACTGACTGATATCAGACTGAATTAACAATTCTATTCTCATTTGGGATTTCGAACTGCGATGAGCAGCTCGCCTTAACTGGTAGATTACGTGAAAGAATATACTCTCGTTATAATAACTTCGCTACCAAAATTTTTCTACCAGGACTGCATAATAAATTTCATTAATTATGATGGAGTAAAAATTTTGTCTTTAAAATAAAATGGAAATTGAGGAAAGAGAATTACAAACACTTCAATAAGTGATGGAAAAGTTTAACAACACAAATGAAGAACAACGCAAAAGTAAAGTCAACACAATCAACATTTACGATACGAAGAGATCAAGCGTGATCCATAAAACTGCTGATTTGAATGTAACACTAAAAACTATAAAAAAACTGGAATTGGAAATTCTTCGGTATGAAAATCACGCTTCTTTTATTGAACTGTTGCAGGACAGAGCCGACAAGTAAGACTGATAACGGAATGCACTGCATTGCGGATCACTTGTGGACAATTAGGACTCGACACTGCTTGCTCAAGAGAAACACGAAGCTGGTAGAAAACCAATCTGTAAAACTATGATCAGTAAATTTGCGAATAGTAATTTCCATGGATTAATCCCTAATGGTTTCCGATATCTATGGGAAAACACTGTAACAAAGTAAAGAAAGGGAACAAACAGACGAAATATTGAGCTATTATATCACCATCAACAGAAGTATCCCTAACTGCTTCAGACAGCTTAATACAATATTTATATGAATGTAAGTGAGTTAAAATGGAAGCAGATCATTTGTAGTAATAGCAGTATCTAATATCTATTTATGATTGCGTGCAGCGCCCGTAACATTTTCTGAATCAAATACTTAAAACGCAATAATGGTCAAATTTTCTATAAATGATGGAAAAGAAATACCTTATAGAATGGTTCCTGCGCGACACATAACGTAGCGTTATAAATCGGTAATATATGAAGGGCAGGAAGAACGAAGCCTTACCCCTGAAGACATCAACTTCAATTAATTGAAGCGTTCAATTAAGAATACACTACTTATGCTGATTTGTGAATAACAAAGTTGCGCTGTATATCTTAGGATGAACTTTGGTAACT